TTGACTGAGTGAGTAAAAAGATTTAAGACTAGGGTTTTAGCATCTTGACCGCCATATCTCAGGACACGCGATGGTATGCCGTCGCCTCCCGGCATGGCGGAGTCTTTGAGGGTTTGAAGAAGGGCTGATACATCAGCTAGGGAGATGGTCAAGCTGCTCAGAGACGAGTGGTTACCCTGTTGTAGAGAGGTGGAATATGAGGCGGAGATTGTAGGATTGAACTTGGGAGAAGGAGGTAAGTAGCAGCTGGCAAAGTAAGCATTCAAGTGGTCAGCTATACTGACAGGGTGAGTGATGAAACTACCGTTGGTGGAGCTCAGACAAGTGACTTGGTGACAGCCTGGGGTACAGCACCCACGAACTAGAAGGCAGAGTAATTTACAGCTAGAAGGACCCCTGAGAGCGGTGCTCTCTTCTCGGCATTCGAGGGATACACGTAAGGACTCTCGGTCAGTTGAGAGCTCGTTGATGAGAAGTATTAATGAGAAATCCCGAGATTTCAGATATACACTGCCGACTCGGGGTATTTTATTGTCCAAGGCTTTCAATAGCTTAGTATGTCGAGAGATACCAGGGTAAAAGCTCTTAATGGGGGAGCCAAGGTAGAGGTCAATAGGTTCTTGTAGAACATATCACAAATTCGTTATGTGTCTGATGAGAGAAAGAAGTCTTTCCAGTCCCGGGAGGCCAGCAGGGACGAAAAAGCCATCAAAATGTCCGGAGTCAGGAGGTGAAAGAAAGATGGACTCGAGGGAACAGCTTCGCTAAGCCTGACTGCGTTACAGGAAACAACTCAATGATCGCTACCTGGAAGGCATGGGCCAACTGCAGTCGTAGCCAGATGACTCTCATTTGAAAATATTAGACCTAAGGTGTGTTGGCCACGAGTGGGGCTGCGTACAGTCTGAGACCAACCCTCTACACTAAGTTGGGCAAGCAGCGAGGCGTAACGACTAAGGCCCGGAGTGGGAGGCCAGGAAACGTCCGGTAGGCTGAAGTCACCCAGCACGAATTTAGATGAATGAGGAAGGGTATGTGCAGTGGAGTTAATACGGGACAAATCAGTTATAGAGGCGGGGGAGGGGGCGGTGGTAGATAGATACAGCCTACCAGTGAAAAAGCAAATCTAAAAGGTGATGACGGCAAGCTTAATGAATCTACGAAAGGGTGGATTTTCATTCGCTGACCCAACAACCAGCTAAGGTTGCTGATTTAGTTGCAGCGCACAACAAGCCACTACTAATGTGCTTCAGGTGATGAGTATGCAGCACAGTTAGATAGCGAGATACTACAACCGGTGGTATCAGTTGTCTCTTGACTGCACTGAACGCCAGTCGGTCAGAAGACTGGGGCGAGAGTAGTTGAATAATTTTGGAAAGGTGATGACTTATCCGCTGAAGTGGTAAGCAGGGAGTTTAGCCTTGTACTGGTTGGTACATGAGATGACAGTTTGAGTTTGTTGGTCGCCACAGCAATCATTAGCCCAAGTAATGGTCCAATCAGAGCGTCTCACCTGCGTGAAAGTGGATCATGTAAAAAGGGACAGCAGATAGATATTGATTTGTAGAGCAGGATTTTCCAAGACAGTGGAAAGGAACTGCATCAACTGATCAGAAGGGCGGGAGTATGGTTCGTCAGTTGCCGAATCACTGATGTCAGCTCCACTTGAAGAGTGGTGCATGGCAAAAACAGCCGATAGGCGCCAATCGTGACTGCCAGTATCCAGGGAATAGTCAGCTCTTTATATTTTACATGCATTTGATCACTTAAGAGAACACGAGGAATGGTCATTTTTATTACGTCTGGCTGATAAATTTGACTTGGGGTGGTTCAACCCGAAGTAAAAAAGGCGAAAACAGCCTTGCACATGAACCTCACAGTGAATCTTCAGGTTTTTTTCAAATCACGCGAAAGGGCAGTTGTCCTTTGGTTTTGTTTTTTGCATCGTCCTTGCTGCGAAGTCAGCAACAACCTGGTCTCCCCGTTAATGCGAAATTTTCAGATGTATGCAGATATCACTAGACTGCCAGATACCCAGATGTTCAGCGGCCCCACAAAATCAGCAATCTTGGTGCACTTGTGAGTGCCGATCGTTGGCATTTCATCCCAATCTTCAGACCACTATGTCCTGCAAACCTGCCGTGCCCATAACTGCCACTCCGAACACCGAAGTTTCCACGGTACTCTTACACTCTTTGTGCCTTATCATGGCTCCTAGAACCAGTCTTATTCTCAACATTGGCCGGTTATTATGTTACGGCAGAGGTAGAAATGTAGAGTGAACCATTTCGGTGGCGGTGGCACTGAGACTTTGCTCAACATCGTCCACTGTAATTTGCTGCACCTCTTATTTCACCAACTTGTGCTTTTCCTTGAATTCCGAAAGAACCGTACGTTGAAAATCCAAAAACAATCAGTGAACATGTTTGCTTCGTGTTGCCAGTGTGGGCGTATTCTCTCTGATTTGATTAAAGATGCTTTTAAATTTTACTCCTATCACTTGTCAGTGGTCTTCTCCATATGGAAAAAGTAAGAAAGTATTGGAAGTATTTGTTTGCATGAATCTTGCATTGCAATAGGGTTCTGCATGATGAGTTTAGGTGGCCAACTTTTAGAGGAATTACGTGATTTTCCCGTGGATTATCCCTGGAATGCATTATCGCATCATTTTTTCCACGAATAGCAACACACTTATGATTTTCTTCCTGCCAATCAGTTGGTGTGGGGTGTGTTGTAACGTGTTGAGAGAGCGAAATCGTGCGCTCCAGCGGGGGTACGGTCAGACGTTTCATGCGATGACGGATCATGGGGGCACGCATATCAAAATCAAAAATAGCTAATGATTTTTCTTATATTGATGGGTAACATGCCGCATCAGTGTGAACAAGGCATGCTCTTGGCTGAGTGTCTCCGAAGGAAGCCAGTTAACTTTCCAACTTATGCACATGGGTTCTGAATTTAGCCGAATCTAACCGAATCTTTGTCAATGGAGAGCAGTATTGCTGCGTGAGGCAGGAAAAACATCAGTCAGTAATGAAGTAGGTTAGCCAGTGAGTCTTCCGACCGGCCTAAAGGAATGAGGGGGCTGTGAGATGAGCTTCCTGGACCTGAAGAGCTTCTTGGGAGGCATTGAGCGAATGGTTGACGGGGTGTTATGATCCAATAACCACTTAGAGGTCAAAGTTGATAACTGTGGCACCCGGGCGATTTATTCCACTTGGATTTGACTGGGGAACATTTTACTGAAGCGAGGAGAAGGATTTACAGCTCCCCGTTAGATAACTTCAGCAGTGGCTGACTAAGAATAAGAAAAGTCGGCTAAAAATTTATATAGTTTAAAAAGAATTGTGAAGGCAAAAAGGGTGGTAGTATATAGAAAATAGTCAGATGGAAAATAGTCAGATAAAGCATATACACGCGTGACGAAATGGGAAACTTCCTTTGCGTGACGCTAAATGACGAGTGGCTTTCAACAGTTTAGGTGTACTTGGGATTTGTAAGACTTTCGTAGAACTGATAACATAAACAGCGATACTGCAGGCACGACACGGCATTTTTCGCTTCCCATTTTCAGGTAAATTGCACTCGCTGGAAGAAAAGAACGAAACCAACCCAGAAAAATCACGCGAAGTCCTTGACCCTGGGTGGAGATCGTGATTCCATAGAAGACATTCGCTTATGCTTTTCGTTTCACCCCCTTTTCACTTGTATTTTCCCGTGGATTATCCCTGGAATGCATTATCGCATCATTTTTTCCACGAATAGCAACACACTTATGATTTTCTTCCTGCCAATCGGTTGGTGTGGGGTGTGTTGTAACGTGTTGAGAGAGCGAAATCGTGCGCTCCAGCGGGGGTACGGTCAGACGTTTCATGCGATGACGGATCATGGGGGCACGCATATCAAAATCAAAAATAGCTAATGATTTTTCTTATATTGATGGGTAACATGCCGCATCAGTGTGAACAAGGCATGCTCTTGGCTGAGTGTCTCCGAAGGAAGCCAGTTAACTTTCCAACTTATGCACATGGGTTCTGAATTTAGCCGAATCTAACCGAATCTTTGTCAATGGAGAGCAGTATTGCTGCGTGAGGCAGGAAAAACATCAGTCAGTAATGAAGTAGGTTAGCCAGTGAGTCTTCCGACCGGCCTAAAGGAATGAGGGGGCTGTGAGATGAGCTTCCTGGACCTGAAGAGCTTCTTGGGAGGCATTGAGCGAATGGTTGACGGGGTGTTATGATCCAATAACCACTTAGAGGTCAAAGTTGATAACTGTGGCACCCGGGCGATTTATTCCACTTGGATTTGACTGGGGAACATTTTACTGAAGCGAGGAGAAGGATTTACAGCTCCCCGTTAGATAACTTCAGCAGTGGCTGACTAAGAATAAGAAAAGTCGGCTAAAAATTTATATAGTTTAAAAAGAATTGTGAAGGCAAAAAGGGTGGTAGTATATAGAAAATAGTCAGATGGAAAATAGTCAGATAAAGCATATACACGCGTGACGAAATGGGAAACTTCCTTTGCGTGACGCTAAATGACGAGTGGCTTTCAACAGTTTAGGTGTACTTGGGATTTGTAAGACTTTCGTAGAACTGATAACATAAACAGCGATACTGCAGGCACGACACGGCATTTTTCGCTTCCCATTTTCAGGTAAATTGCACTCGCTGGAAGAAAAGAACGAAACCAACCCAGAAAAATCACGCGAAGTCCTTGACCCTGGGTGGAGATCGTGATTCCATAGAAGACATTCGCTTATGCTTTTCGTTTCACCCCCTTTTTCACTTGTGCCTTTCAGGTGAACGACAGCCACTGACCGACAAGAACAAAACCGACCCGGGAGACTTGGGCAAAAGCCTCGATCCTGTGTATCAATCCGTGAATCCGTAAACTGAACACCCCACCAAGACCGCCGCGTCTTTTGAGTCTATTCGCCGGCGTTTGAGTGACACGTCTAATAGCGGCTCTTGATACGGTGTGACTAGGTTTCGATAACCATGCCGGGAAATGAGCTTTCGGATATGTTTCACAGTATTCCACTCATCACACGATACTGGTTCTCCGGCACGATTTTGTTTTCACTCCTCGGAAAGCTCGGCATAATTGATCCAATGCGGATGATTTTATTTTGGGATGGTGTACATAAGTACGAGGTAATCAGTGTTTACGTCTAACCTCGCAGATATGGCGACCCATCACAGCTCTTCTGTTTTATCCCATCAACCCTTCAACAGGATTTCACTTTCTGATTAACCTGTATTTTTTGTATTCGTACTCCTCAAGATTGGAAAATGGTAAGTTTCGCTTCCCACAAGTGATTCTGCAGGACTTTTCTTTGGGCGTACTGCTGACTACCTCTTCATGATATTGTTCTGCTGGTTCATGGTAGTGGTATCCTTTTTCATGGAGCATTGCGTCTAACCAGTTCGGTTATCATCCGCTAAGGTGTACTCTGCCCGTCTCTGGGACCCAGTCACATTCACTCTCTTCTTGTGGACCACTGTCAGGTTGATGAAAGGCGGTCGAGAATTCTTTGTATTTTAACCACTCCTGTTTCCCCACAACTCTTCCGAACCCCAAACGACCCGTAGAACTTCTTGTAATTTAGTAAAAATTGGCGAGTCTAATACAGCCTAACGATGGCATAGTTTGCTGCTCATATGATAGCAGCTAGTTCGTTCACCTCTTTGGCTCGGTTTTTTTCTTCACACACATATCTGCCCCAGTGACCGAATTTTCATCTACACACTTGAACTTTGGCATTGCAACGGTAGCAGTGGGTTACAGAGATTTATGACCATGTTCGGTAACCTGAGTTTTGCTGGTGCTGCAAGCCCTCTGCCTAGGAACCAGAGCGTGTATCATCATGAAGTGGCTGCAAGCCTATAGACAAACAACCTTTATATCACGACGGAGGTATGCACTGTGATCAGATAATACTACTCAAGTAGCTGTGAAGACTTCATCCCCACCCCCAGCACATACGTAACCGCACTGTAAAGGCGTCCGGTCCGCTTCCTTTCTCCTGCAGTGCAATGCGAGTCTACGTTTCCTTCAGATTGCAAGTGTCGCCTAAAGTTCTACGCACTGACGGTGTTGAACTGACGTAGCCATGAGTCCTACAAGTAACTCTACTGTCATGCGACATCCAACGTGCAGCGTCACCAGCGGAATCACTGTGTTTGTTGCATACAGTGGGAATTTCAAGCGAAAAGGAGCTACTTCTGACACCTTTTCCTCTCACATACGTTTCTTCCACTCACTCAAACTCACTAACGATACCCTAATTGTTGGCTCATCCGCTAAGATCAATGCCCCTTCTAGTCTTCTGTCGGTCTTCGTCGCGATCTCAGCGGATCTGTCGGCATCGACAGCCTTAAGCAATTTTATACCAGTTTTGAAGCTTTGATACTGACTACTTTCAATGTCTGAAGCAAGCAGGACAACAGACTACTCTTGCTCGCAAACCGGATTCGTTTGGATTTAATATGTGCTGCACAGTCGTTGGATAAACTTCAACACTTCAAATGTTCCCTGTCGCACACTTCTGGCATTGAGGTGCCGCTGCGGCAGGGTGTTCAGGGATATACGTCACCTTTGGTCACCGGGTGGGACAGTCCTTGTTTGACTGGGCACTATTTACTGGTCGTCCGTGTGTGGTTCATCCGGCAATGTTGACAAACGAATGTCGTGAGTGGTATGTTGGTCGTCTGTTAATCGTGTCCGCTCATGCCAGGACTGACTAGATCTGCCACTACCATTGAACCTGTATACCAGGCTAAAGTACGGTCAGTTTTGCTGTATGGCAGTGAGACAGCCTCCTGGAGCAGCAGACCTCAGACGTCTTCAGGTGATCCATCACCGTTATCTCAGAAACAGCTCGTACGGGCGAATCCGTGACACCATAATTAACGAGTGTTTGGTTGTGCAACGGGAACTTCAATCGAATGGTGTGTCCAGCGCCAAAATCTGCGGTGGTTAAGGCATGTATTGCGCATGCGGAGCCATCGTTTATCGAGGGGTACTGTTTTAGTTCCCAATTTAGAACAGCACAAGTAAAAAAGGTCGACGAACTTTTACCTGGCAGTGGGTTTCGTAAGGAATTACGAAAAGTCAGAGCTATAGCTGTGTAGCCCTCCAGAGTGGGGACCGTGTGTCTGGTTGGAAACGCTGATAGATGTCAGTAGTGTTCTTGTTAATTTCCGTCCAGTGTCTCAGTGAGTGCCTAGAGGTGTAGGTGTTTCAGAGTCACTGTAGACTAGCATTAGCTCCTTTCCCTTGCCACTTACTCTTCAAGGTTGGTCTTGCAAATAAATTGTGGCTGTGTGACTTCGGAACAGTGCTAAACACTGGTGTGCTATCGATAATAATAAAGCTGGTGATGATGAATGGGTCGTAAAATTACTCGCGGTGTACCCGTATGTATCGCACAGCTTGCATTCGTATGGGCCACCGTTTTGGCATGCCCGAGGTAATGTGCGTGATGTATATTCTCCGACATCCCCATCCTGTCCAGGTAAAATACTGACTCATGTCACACTTTCTCACTGAAATAGATACGTGTTTCGAACCTTGCCCACAATGAGTCATATGTTATCCGTGTAGCCCATCAGGAAGAAATTTCCGCTAATCCTTGGCACAGACACTGAACTGCGCTGGTTCCAGGGTTGGACCTCCTCCATTACTACTGAACTCTTCCCATATCTGGTTGCGCTATCGTACAACTTTCTCACGTTGTGCCCCGAACCAGAGGAGCAATTTGGGATGGCGTAGTTTTCAGGGAAAAGAGAAACCATCTTTCAGAACCTGTATATTGTGTTTCATGTATGTCCGGATGACGTTTATGTCCGTGGATTGCGATTCACAAACGACTTATTTCAAAACTTTTCATCTCCAAAGTTATATCCCACATTTCACATCTTGGTGTAAATGCATAGGTGGGGTTCTGCGATTTAAATGACTCAGTAGGATAACGTGGTCCCCTTTTTCCGGATGTGGTAGTAGATACAATTGGCTTATTTCTGACTCTCCGAGCGGTAGAACCAGGTTGACGTTTGAGGAATGTAGGGTCCATCTGGTTGCTTTCGATACATGCCGATGTGAGCGCAAATCCGAGACTGGCCCTGAATTCTATGCGTACAGGCCGTCATTGGTTGACGAAATATCAAAGTCGAGAAATACACTCATCTGCAAATCAATTTGGTTTTCACGGGAGACTCAATTGAATCTCTCGTTTATGATGTTCTCCAGCTGAATGTGCTGCACACAGGCCGCCTCATGATTCAGTTGGCACGATATTCGAGATATCGCAGTATATTTTCATAAAGGAAACTACTCACAAGGTTGCTGAAAACTCTTCGACACCCCGCGACCGGTTTCGCCCTTCTTGGGACTCAGCAGGTAGGCGCAGTCCCCGAGTTTCCTTTAACCTTATGATCTGCTTGAACCCAAATTGCACTGTTTTCGAGAAATGCACTCATTTGCAAATCAATTTGGTTTTCACGGGAGACTCAATTGAATCCCTCGTTTATGATGTCCTCCAGCTGAATGTGCTGAATGCTCCAAGAAGGGTGAAACCGGTCGTGGGCTGTCGAGGAGTGAGTAGTTTCCTTTGTGAATATATCAAACTCGTTCGTTTGCAAATCGTTAGCGGCAGAGGTGAATTCGGCTCTGGATTTTGACGTAAGTCGCCCGTATACCCGCAGTCATCCCCGCTCTACCGTGCACCAAACTCCTTCAGGATCACCTGTAGTAGCAATAAGAGCAACAATATATGCATTTTGGATGCGAGGTGTTTATGTCTTCCAAAACCGCTGAGTTAAACATCAGTATCGGTTTGGAGCAAGACGCCATCGTCGGGATTGACTTAACCTCCTTTGTAAAGCGCACGCAACACGTAACCGGCACGCAACAGCTAAGCTTAGGCTTCTCACCGTAGAGTGGCTTTTTGTGCAGGACGATGAAGGACGGCAGGGAAGCATCAATGTTGAATTGATGTTATGCTGTCGGTGATGATGATGATGATAATGATGTACAGGAAGAGATCTCCACTGAAAGCTCTGGCTTGGCTGTCCGGCTGGGTGACAGAGAGCTTCCCATTAGGATCGACTGTGCCCTATCCTATAGGTGTTCCCGTCAAGCGCAAAAAGGAATCACAACCCCTCACAGGAAGGCCAGAAGGCTTTGATGTGCTCAACTTGAAAGTAGCCGCTTTTATTTCCCACTGCCACATCAAAACCATCCTCTGCTTTTTCATGCTCTCGTTGTGTACGTACTGCAACCGGTCAACCCCTTGCTATAGTACACAGACAGCGGTGATCATATGTCTGACGACGTTCTAGATCTTCAGATCGGTGGGCTCAAGTTTCGCAGTCAGATTAGGACTGCTTTCGAGGTCGCTTTGTGGCCCGAACTCTGAACTCACTGGTACCGACCTGGACTCCAAGGGCAACACACTTTTGTCTCCTGCCTTGATGATGCGTGCATTGAATTCATCTGTCAAAGCGTAGTCAACTTGTGCAGCAACTAAGATGAGTGAACCAACTATAGGACTCAGGCTCCTCATTGTGGTGTTCCGAATGACTACATACGAGCGTGAATTCTTGAGGATCTTGTACCTTGGAGGCGACCAGATTTGAATAAATGGAGCGAAAAATATTCACAAACACCGAGGGAGGTCTTCGTACGCCATGTAGAAGAGCCAGTTGGAATGGGATGCTCCTGAAGCAAATCCACTACGGTTTAGCAGCTCTATGTGTTACGGTGCTCAGGCACTTGATGTGAAAACGTGGTCGATGCGCATGGTCGAAATCCTACTTGATGCTCTCAGATTTGCGTCTCGCATGATGAGCTCAGACGCCGGACCATCACCGAGGCTGTTAGCCATACCTCAGTGGTTAGAGCGCTAATTTACTGACTGGAAGGTCCGCACTTCGAACCCGGTCTCAGCATCTCGACTTCTATCTAGGCTTGGGCAAGCCGACAATTATCCCAGCCCTCGTGCTTCCTTCTGGTGGAATGGCAGTTAGACACCGAAAGGTTGTACAGTCAAAAGTTATCTACATTTCTGTTGCGCCACTCTGAATTGGGCACGGAAAACAGCCCCTATGGGAAACAGTGGCTCCGCGTGCGCAACACAAGACCTAACCACAGTTTTCGGTGCTGAACACATTTTTCGATTGCAGTACCTGTTGCACAATCAAAAACCCGCTTTTTAATTGTCTTTTTGGCACCCGCTTACGTGAGCGATGGTTTTAAGACAGCGGTTATCAAAGACCTGAAGACGCCTTGGTTACGTTGCTTGCAGAAACCGCG